GTCCGCTTCATTACTAGCAAATGCAGGTGCTGATATGGATATGCTGAAGAGGCACGGTGGAGGGAAGTCGTCTTCTGTTGCAGAAGGGTATATGGAATCGTCAGGAGAAAACAATAAACAAATAGCTATGAAAATTATGGGGGGAAATAGTATTTAAATACTAATATGAATTGTCAGGCTTCAACATCATCAGGAATTACAATTTTGAATTGCAAGAAATTTGTTGTTAATGTATATAACAAGTAATTAAAACACGTTATTATTATTGTTATTGTTTGAAAAATTGTTAAAGTTATTTTCATAATAAATTATTTGAATAATTATTGTTATTCTCAATAGTAGACCATGGAATAGTGCTCATCTCAGAATAACTGTACTCGTATGCCATTACCGCACTAGTGTGGTAATGAAGTTCATTACCATACTAGAGCGGTAAAGGATTTCATTACGAAGCTGATTATAATAGCATAATATTTCACATTACCTAACCAATGTGAATAAATTAATGAATGTTATTCAAAATTACAGAGCTGTGACTGGGACGGCTGGGGAGTAATCAGTTTCGAAAAAATCCTACACATAGATAAGGTGTTAGTGTTGCTTACAGGCGACAGATGGACAGACAGACACATAAACAGACACACAGACATAGAAAGACAGAGGCAGAGACTCACATAGACAGACATAGACAGGAAGAGACAGACAGAGGCACGATAGAAAGACAGAATCAGCCAGTCGGGCGGGCGTGCGGACGGACGGACAGACAAACGTTTTCAAAAATATCACTTTTTTGGTATCGGGGGTCCCAAAACTTGTATTTCTGTTGAAATCTCGAAATCGATTTCCCGTACCATTACATAACTTTCTCTCTACCACGTCCATTATTCCGTTTAATGTCACAATAGTGAAGTGCGACGTAGTGTGACACATGTGATTGCGATTGCATGCCGCGCCCCACAAGCGCTAGCGGTAAGACAAGCAGGCAGACCGCAAAAACCACGCAAGTAGTGAGAGTGATTCATACTGAACAAAATGTAAATATCATGTAAGAATTTCGCGAAGTGATAGGAATGGTTGTGAGTTTAAGATAAGTTAGATTTTATGCACCCCCACCATAATATATTTGTACCCAATGTAGGGCAATAAATTATCAATACGTACGTATACAATAAAGTAAATAGTGTTAGGAATTTGCATTAATAAACATGGACATTACAAACAGGGATACTACTTTTTTCAATGTCGAAAAGAAACAACGTTTCGAGACGTTAGAACTTTGTGAGGGAAATCACGAATTGGACACTGTGAACTATTTCAATACTTTACTACACAATACTCAAAATATGAAAAATCATAAAATATATGTAATTTAGCACCTTTTCACCTTTTTCGGAGGCAATTACGCTAGAAAATATGTTCCGCAACAGAAAGCAAATCCAAATTATGTCCATGTACTGAGTAACAAATTCTTTGAACAAATTTAATTATAAAACAAAAATAATCAAGTTTACTTCTGGAAACCTTCAGCAACGGCGAACAAGGGCTAAACTTTTCGTGGCCTTCAATACGGAATAGACGGAGTTAGGAAGTAAAAACGAGGTCCCCTGATTTTAGTTCAATGACGATTTATAATAAAATAATAAAAATAAATATCACATGCAGTTTTATATTTAAAGAATTTCATTTTAGAAGGGCAAATCTCTCTTCTGACTCCATTTGAAATACTTTCGAATAGAATCGTAAAAGGGCGCGATGCTTCGCCACTCACTCACTCGCTGTGTCGTGGTGCAACGCATTTGATTTAATACTTCCCCTGCGCCGTTTCATGTGTCACAGAAAAGTTAAAAAAATTTCTGCCAGTGATGAAATGGTATTTTAGAAGCATTCGTCAGCAAAATTTTAACAATTTAGTTTTCATGCTCGGAATGGTACGCGAAAAAAATCTGAAGGAACTCGCACAGTTTGCATCGTGATAATACGAGTAGTAATAAAAAATCAATATGTACTTCTGGCTTAAAACGTAATTGGAATCCAATCCCTTATATCAATATAACGTTTCCTACATAACTCTACATCATTTATTTTCGCAAAAAACATTTCACTCTGAAACGCCGAGGAAAATACTATTGAGCTAATAGCACACGCTTTCTCGTTTTATTTCTAAATCTGTAATTTTCGAAAATACAGTATTCAACGAAAATGAAATCATTGTTTTAAACGTTCATTCTTCTATCCGTTGAAGTAAAATGTGCAAAGTTTTTTGAGAATTGTTTTTATAAAATGCATTAATTTCAAGCGCAAATTACGAGAAAATGAATCGTGTGTTTTAAAACTTCTATGCGACCTTTTCTAAAGCGATGAATTTTTAGAACAGATTATATTTAAAGCAACATATTCTTCGTCGTCGTCTTCTTCTTCTTCTTCTTAGGGCGAAACAGTCCATACGTGGCCATGGGCCTCCTTCAGGATTCCGTTCCATGCATTTCTTTCCGGTCTTCCTCATCACCCAGCAGTCACCTTAGGGGTGGTCTTCAGATTCTGCAGGCGCCCACAGGTCGCGTAGAAGTCGTTTCTTTACACAGAGTTAATCCCGGCAAGCGACAGGTATGGCCAAGCCACCTTTGTCTAGCCAGTTTGATTTCTTTAACAATATTGTTGCTATTGTATAACTAGTATATTTCTCTAGTGTGTCCGATTCTCCATTTACCGCTATCCTGCACTGGCCCAAAGATTCTTGTCAAAATATTTCTCTCAACTACATCTAGTAGATTTATATCATTGTTATTTAAGGCAAGACATTCAGTTTCATACATCACTATATGCTTTAGCAAAGTCTTGTATAATTTTAGCTTATATTCATGTCGGAGGGACCGCGAGCCAAACAGTTACTTTAGTCCAAAGTCACTTGTGTTTGCCATACTTATCCTTGCCTTAATTTCAGTTGTCGAAGAGTTATCAAGCGTCAGAAGTGTTACAAGATATTTAAAGAAGTTTGCCCTTTCGAAGGAATATTCTCCTATTTCGTTTGATTTCGTGTTAGCTTTCTTCTTGGTTAATTCCAGTCTCTTTTGCCTCATCAACCAAGCTTGATGTCGCTTTCAGCGACGCTGTCATAGTTTCCCCACGATCACTTTATCATTCGCCAAGGCCAAGAGTTGCACCGTTTTCCTCATTATTATATTTTCTAAAGCTACGTTAAAGAGTAAGCGTGGCAACGCATCCCCCTTTATCAATCCCTGTGCGCTGTCAGAAGGATCGAATATCCATTTAGCTACTTTCCCTTTGCCCTGTACTTGCCGTATAGTTGCATTTACCAGATAAGTTTTTTTGGGAAGCCAAACTATTCCATGGCCTCTAGTTTCTACGTATTAATAGAAACATATGCTGCTTTGAAATCAATAAATACATAAATATGGTGCTCAAATTATATTCCCTGGTCTTTTCGATTATTTGCCTATTCATATGAATATGACCGGTTCTTGACTTCTCTCTGAAACCACATTGGTAATTTCCGATAATGGTTTAGTGATATGTTTCAGGCGTACACACAAAATATTAAAGATCTTATATCCTGGGTTCAACAAACTAACTTCACTGTAGTTCTCCGCTTTAAGTTTATCCCCTTTTTATATATCGGGCATATAAGTGCATCTTCACATTGTTTTGACAGCTTTTCTTGTTCCCATATTTTCGATATGATGTGGTGTAATTTATTCCGCAAAGTAGTTTCCCCTTCAAAGATTTTCATCATTTCTGCTGCTACACCATCCGCCCCCGGTGATTTGTAATTATTCAATTTTCTGATTGGATTTAATAGTTCATTAACATCTGGATGTCCATCACTTGCAGTGTTCTCACAGTCCCTTTTACTTTCATGTTGGTCCATCTCAGTAGTTTCCTGTTTTTGTTCAATTGTTCTTATCCCCAGTGGCAGTGCCCCTACCATCTCTTCATAATCGAGCTACTATCGGTCAGCAGACTGTTGCTTTCAACTGATGTATACAACTGATTTATATAAAGAAAACCGAGAACAAGAAAAGATCATCAGAAGAAAGAAAAGAATGTTTGAGGAAGATAAAGTAACAAGGTTAGATAGTAGAAACCCATATATAGAAATGAGGACGTTTTTTCAACAGGTTACTTGCATAAAAGGCCACAAATGGAGAGTAAAGTAGTAGAGATAAAGTAAAAATATCTATTTTCAATTTTATAGGGTTGCAATGTTAAATGTTTGCAATTTTGGAAAATACAAAGAGGTTGTCGGAAATGGGGCAAGCACCTTTTTTAATCGTTTGGTAGATTCCAGGAGATAATTTGAAGGAAAACTTTGCAACCATATTTGAGAAATAAAAATTAAAAAATGTAAATTTGCCTATATTTCACGAAAAGCAACGCGAAAACTACACATATTTTCAAAAAAATTTACGAGATCTTATTTTAAGACCTATTTTTACGTAAGAGATTTCGTTTAGGAAAATTCTCTATCTTCAGAATTGTAGTTGTAGAAAGACAGTGAAAAATATTCGAACTTTTGCAAAATTCACTAAATCAGGTATTTTAACGAAATTGAGACTTGAACCATTCTTCACTGAGTCTTTTACGTTATACGAGGACAAAGTTAAATCAAAAAGATTCACGCTATTATCGAGAACATTTTGGTATTATTTATATTAAAATATCATCAAAATTCAAAATATACGTTTCGAACTCGGAGGGCTTCGAGCTTTTTAAATCTATCGGGGAATATTTATATATATGTTGTAACCACCTGGGACCCCAGGTGGCCTCCCCGACTCACCTGATTATCCGGTTACCCGATCCAGCTTTGCCCCGGCTGCTCAGTCTGCAGGCTCTTCTAGGATACATGCGTGATAGGGCTTTTTCTCATGCTCATAATGCATTAAAACACATGGCTGCATTTTTTAAGTGGATTTAATATCCATTCCAGTCTCGTTATAAACAGGCCTTTCTTAAAACTAACTTATCTTCTGGCCATTCAGGCCAGAGTTCGGCCTTTCAGGCCGGACGGCGCCCTCGGCGGCGTCCATGAGCCGGGTGACGCCAGCAGCGGCCCGTTCCTTGGCCGTGCGGAGCAGCGATGTCAGTGGCCTTGGCTGTGAGCCTCCTCCTGCCCCTTCGCAAAGCGGTCAGGACGGCAGGTGGCGTTGTGGCGGCCCGGGCGCTAGGAACGCCTGATCCGCCGAAACGTTTTCGATACAAGAACAAAATTAACAATCATAATACTGTTTTTAAAATGGCTTTAGAGGGGCCACAAACATCAAAAACAGCCCATTTCGGCCTTTTTTGCTACTTTTTACAAAATCACGAATAAATATTATTTAAAGATATTTTTATAAACGGATTTTTAGCTGAGGTTGAGCCCACGCTATTCCACAACATTATAATCATCAAATAATACTTATTTGACTCAGTGTGCCACATTAGCTTGAATACGGCGTAATTTACGTTAAAACCATATAAATGGCCACTTTACAAATTACCATAGTTCCGTTAATTTTTTAATTTTTTTTTTTAATTTAGATTAGATTAAAGCTTGAAATTTCTACTTTCAGAACTTTGCCTGGCACAATTTAATTACTTCACTGCAATATATTAAAATTACTATTAACGACCCACAACTGTACCTCACTCCTGTATTTGATTTCTTTATTCATTATCAGGCTGCACTGAACATATTTGTAGAGAAACGCAACTTATTTTGATATTACTATACTTTATAGAACCCTACGAAATGCCATTTGGAAAGCGATGAGCTGCGAGCAACGGCCCGAATCAGCGCCCCCGCCGGCTGCCCCACGAGCGCCCGCCCGCATCAATGCACTCTCAAGAGCCATCCTTTTCTTTTTCCAGGCTTCTTCTGCATTTCAAAATTTCAGCTAATGGTTTATTGACATTTCCATGGGCAATCATCTCGCAATCGGGAAAGGAAGCACCATACGGCGCCGCAGATTTATAAAACTAGCAACTTTTCAAACTAATTTTTCATCTGACTTCTAATTTTGGCTCCCGCGTTTTTTTGGATTTCAATTTTGCGCTGAATATGACACACACTCTTCTTGAGGCTTTACTAAACACTCTGCTGACAGTTCTATGAACGAGATTATGTGGTGCAAAAACATACAGAAGAAGGATTTCACAAGGGCGTCTCTTGTTGAAGAAGGAGGACTTTCTACTTGGGTTACTCACTTGTTTGCGGTCATATACCAAATATATACTGTTTATTTGTGAGATTTCTAGGTACAATTCCTTGACTATTGTACCTGATTACATAATTTTGCAACGAAGAAATTGTGACTTCTGTTACAGATTAATGCATTAATGCACGCCACTTGCAGTTATAGTTCTTATAAAAGTTGAACCAGAAATGGCATGGGAAGGGAAGAGTTGCCGATTGAACTCGAGGACAAACCGAATCGACTGCTTTGAGGAAGCGAAAAATGTAGAAATATTTAGACTGAGATCAGAGGGACGATAAGTAGTATAATTCATTCTAATTTGAAAATAGTAATTTATGCAACAAGGGAGCGAAACAGGTGATTCACCCACGAGTAAATTTAAAGTATATATACAATAAATTTAATGTACACGTACAGTAAATTTAATGTACACGTACTTTAAAGTTAATGTACGTGTGCATTAAATTTCATGTGCGTACATGATAATTACTTTAATGTATTTTTGCATAAATTTCTCACTTTCTTGCATAAAATACTCACTCTCTCTTTGAAGATATTTCAATCTTTGATCCTTACTAAATTAAACTATTTTTAATAAAAATTTACGGAGTTATTGTCATTAGAAAAATGTCTATTTCTATGGTTTTAACGGAAAATTGGCCATATTCGGACTAATATGGTACACTGTTTTAATCAAATAAAATATGTTTGATGGACATAAAATTGTTACGTGATAACGTTGACACCACCTTAGCCAAAATTCTATGTGTCTTTGTGTGTGTGAGAAAGATTTATCCACGTTTTCGTTACCAGGGCACGGCAAGAGAAGGTTTTCTGTTGAAAATTCGCCGTTTTCCGATGCACTATTTCAACACTTTATTTACAAAGGGCGAGAAAGTACTAAAATAAAGTAAAAATTATGATTCACTAAATGAGACACAAAAAATTAATATGGGAGTAAAATTATGAAAATATCCAGGTAGTTGGATTTTGCATATATCCCTTGTTATTTCAATCATGAAAATCAATCCATATTGATTGTTTATATATCGTAATCAGAATTCAAAACTTCCTAATAAAATGTATGCAGGAGGCGATAAATAGAACGAATTTCTGTCGCTTACCACTTACTACATATCTCCCATGGACGAGAAGTGGCTCAGTTAACCAGCTGAAGTCAGTACAGTGCCTCTGACTAGAAAGTCCTGGTTCGAGTCCTGACAGGGGCAAGATTTTCAACACTAGCTTGTCAGGTAGGACGAATTCAGTCGCTGTCTGGAGAATACTTCTAGCTGCCGGCTGCTCTGATCGGTAGTTTTTCGTGGTTTCTCCGATCAACACAATGCGAATGTCGGAGCAGTATCGTAACAAACGGGCCACGGACCGCGCGATCTTTCCTTCCTCTTCCTTGACTTATCCTCACTCCTTACTAACATGCACTTAGGAGACTAATGACCTAAGCAGTTGACTTGCCCGGAATCACTAACAACCAACCAACCATATTTCCCTAATTTACCGCTCGGCGGAACGCGGGCCATCCCGGTTGCTCCCAGTCAGTGTCGCCCGCGCGCGCGCGTGTGTGGGGGGGGGGCGAAGGAAATCGGGAGTCGTTAAGGGAAAGGCTCAACTTGAGTGCGCGCGCGACGAGAAATAAAAGGCTCAGGCGCTCACCACGGAACTTCCCGTCTCCCTCGTCGCGTTATATTCGCCCCGCGTTACGACAACGGAGCTGCGGGCTACGAAATGGCGCCGGCGAGACGAACGCCTCGCCCCTGCGGTGGAAATGGGGCAAATATTTTACGTGTAATGCTCACTCAGCAATTACACGAGGTAGAGAACGTGGCAGTGTTACGAGTATGGGCGATGGATGAAATGTAGTTCATTATATGAAATTACAGATATTGAAATACACAAATGAATAGAGGAGATTTCGATTTTACAATACATTTTTCTGTTTTGTAGAGTATTTTCAAGTACCTGAAATCATTCAACTACTCCTATAATTCCACAGCTATTTCGTGAGAAGCACGCTGAAGACCATCTAAATATTGTACATGCTTGCTATTTCATTTGATTTTCTAGCTAATTTGTGGCTGATGGAACAGACAGAATCAAACGAAAGAGATCTTTGCCCGACAATCTGGAGGGCAGGACAATCTGTTTCTGGAGGCCGTTGGGAAAGGTCGTTCGGCTATTGTCAGTGAATGCTTCGGACGAAAACGTCCGACATCCGCCGACCGACAGTTGGTCCAGAATTGTTTACGCTCTGACCGCCGCCTTTGAAGTGTAAATGGAAGTATCTTACGGATAATAACCCTTATTTATTATACTGAGCAAGTCATTAAAAATATCAATCTCAAATATCTTCTAAAGGGTTCAAGATATTGAGATGAAATTTGCGCCCAAAATTCAGGCCACAAGGGTTCATCAATCGTAGTTATTAGCTTGTTTTTAAAAAAGATGATTATTGAAGAGATATTGGACTCTATTTTTTAAACGGAACTATACAGGTGTCCGGAGAGGAAACGTGGAAACTTTGAAAACAAACTATTCTGACATTTTTAAGCATATTTCATCAAATAAACCATGAGGATTTTCCGAATGGATAAGCTGCTATAAGTACTCAAAAATGCTTTTTAGGCAATTTTGAAGCATAGAAACACTTCAAAAACATTCAGAAAATTGTTTATTACTTTCAAAAGAAATGAATATATTTATTCAGGAAGTAAAATTAACACAGAAATAAAAAAGCTGTTGAATTGCATAAATTCGGTTCAATTTTGGTTGTCTCGGTAGCTTAGTGGTTAGAGCAGCTGGACATAACCCAGAAGAGCGGGGTTCGAGTTCCCGTCGGAAAACTCATTCTTTGAACAAATGCAGTCATGTTACTCAGTAACGTGGACAGAACTTGGATTCCTTTGCGACTGCGGAATACATTCTTCGAGCGCAATTGCGTCCAACATGGTGACGGGATGACGACAATTTATATAAGTATTTAATTTCTTACATTGTAGCAACTCCCAGAGGCACCGAGTGGGTGCGACGATATGTGGTGACGTGAGTCAAGTGTCGTTCAACAAAGCGTTTATTTCTTAGTCAGGCAATTTGCATCAAACGAAATTAATAATTTTGAAATTAACATTTTTTTGTTGAAATTACGTTAGGTGATGTAAAATCCAAGTCACTATTACGAATACATTTCATTACTCTAAAACACTATCGCAGATGAAAACAGAATGTAGATAACAGCAAGTGACTGTAAAATATTTTTGTGTATATAATTTAGAGAACTAGACATTCACAGAGAATTTTCAAAATTTGAATCTTGAATAATTTAGCTAGCTAATTTGTGATTCAAATTAGCTTTAATTTCAATCAAATTAGCTTTAATCAAAATTAGGTTCAAAGATGATGTTACAATATTTTATAAACATGTTTGTAAGTTTATACATTTTCTAGCTGAAAAAATTAATAAATAGACGTAATAATCTACGTATATTATTAGCTTGCTTAAATATAAAAAGTTGGCATCGTGAATATAATTCAGACAGTCACTGCAGTGGATAATCGTCTTCTATTTACAGTCTTCATAGACTCAGATGAACACAGGTTTTTATTTTTCCTTATACATACGTATATACGGAGTAATATACGTAATAGAGGGAAAGTTATATAATGCTACGCGAAAAAACAGCGAATTTTCGACAGAAAAAAGTTCAATGCCGGGCCCTGAAAACGAGAAAGTAAATAAATCCAGTTTTCTATTTAAGAACAATAATCTTCTAAGACATGGTGTGGCTGCAATCCCTCTTTTGTGGGTCCTTGTTACCAAAAGAATAATTGACGGTAAAACGTCCATCTACCTGTGTGTTCGTCCGTCAGTCTGTGGACACTACTAGCGCC